GACCTTGAAAACAGCAGGAGGCTAATTTCTAGAATCTGTTGGTTAGATTCACGTATTGGAAAGAACTCAGAAGTGCCACAGCTACACAGCTGTAAGAGCTGACCCCACCCACCACTAAGAGTGCAACCACTGGAAATGATGTAGTATCTATGCACTGCAATTTTTTTCATCTGCAAAATGCTATAATACACCTTCCTCTGCAGAACTACTCCATGATTAAGTTAAATAAATTTAAACATAATAAAATATGCAGATGGACCAAGCATGGAGCAAGACACCTCACTCAAGAAATACTAGATGGTTTCATTTATAATGACACTTCCGCTGTGAAATTTTATGATTTCTGGGTATTTTATGATTGTAAGCATAGTATACTCTTCTGTCACCTAACTATTGAAAACAAACAAAAAATAGGTACTTTTATCTTAATGACTGATGGAAATATTTTACTTGGGGATGCAGACATGTATAATTATATTAAAGATTACCTGGGTGGTCTGTGCATATCCTTGAGTGGGCTGGGCGGTGTAAGCACTGTAGCTGTTAAGAGAAATTAAATACAAGACTGAATATAGAACAGATTCCATTACTAAATCCTCTACAACTACAGGAGGCTCCATACTCTAAAAATGTTAATCACACCCCAAGTACTGTTGTAAAAGACCAACTTACCCCTGCTGGGCTGCAGCTTGGCTATAGGTACTGTAATCTAGAGGAAACAGGAAAGAAAATAGTGTGAAGTTAGCACAGAAGAAAAAAAGGCAGGAGTTCAGGCAACAGGAAGATGAATTCTTTAAACTGTCTAGAGACAATCAATACAGGTCCAAATGAGTACCTGTCTCTCAACACCAAATCAAAAAATAAGTCTAAGCCAGTTAAACTCAAAGTTTGAATATAGGGCCAGCTAGTGAGGTCGAGATCAGATGATTTGGCAAAGATACTCTGAATGTTCCCATGACCACAATCCCCCCCTTTAATTGCTGGCTGTCATCATGGCCTTAAGACTGCAAACAGTAAGAACCAACAGGATCATATAAAAAGAAGGCACGCAACAATATTACGACGCTTAACATCATACTGGTTTCATCAGTAGCTGCAACTCCTCAAGAATTAGTTTTTCTATTACTCCCTTACACTTTTCCAAGTTAGACCAACTGTAATTCCCCTGCAGGACTGTGAAATGGTACAGCAGAAAACAAGAGGCCAGTCATCTCAATCCAGTGTTTTAAAGGCTTTGCTGACTGTAACCAGGCTACATCAGTACAACGACTCAAAAGCTAAACACATTATAAATCTCAGTGAAGTAGGGTTAAGGCAAAATTGCGATAACCAGCAAAGGAAAAGTATTTAATTTTGGGGGAGTAATTTTGTTTTGGGTAACACCATCTGTTTAAAACTCAAAATGATTTTAACCTAAAAAAAAAAAGTACCATAAACTTTCTTCCCCCTCTTCTAAGTAACCTTCCTACAATTTTGCTTCATACGAAATTTATAATGTGCACGGAGAGGGATTAAAAACTGGTCCACTGAGGTACCTACAAGTACTGAAAACAAACACAATAAAATTAAGTTTTCACAGCACTACTGCTTACACATATACACATATTTTAAAAAGTTACAAAGTATTTTTAAAAATTTCTGCCCAATTCTTTGCTCCCCATGAGAAACACATATCTTATTTGATGTCAGAGGAAAGTACTATCATTAGAGTTAAACAAAAGGGGTCTTTCTTTGCCAATCAGAAACCAGTCCATCTGAAAGCAACATACAACACCTCAGCCCTTCACGCAGGGGTTTCTACCCTTACACCTCACAGTCCACCTGGCCTGGCCTGAAAGCGTTTTGCTGAATCCAGTCTAAGTCGGCTCATCTTTCTGCCTCTACACTCCCCTTGGTTACTTTCCTTCCTCAGTACACCTGTAACTCAGAACCCTGAATCATCATCATCAAATCAACTGCCCAAAGGCTATTCATAAGGAACAAACTGATTTGTTCAAGACAACCTCAGGGCAGTTTAAGGTTAAACCTTAAGGCATTTTCAATAGCACTACAAGTCATGGTCTGTATTTTGGCATATAAAAAGCAAATGCAAATCACTTCTTTCATGTGGCATTCACAAAATAAACATACAGATGAAGTAATTAAAAATCAAATATTCAACCTATATTTTGCTGAGTTTTCTGTGCTAAGAAAGTGATTCTAAATTGCTCACATTTAAGTTCAATTTTTGCAAGAGGACTTTTATGTAAAGAACAGTTATGTAAAACTGGCAAAGCTGACATGAAACAATGATCTCAGATCAGTGTGAAACCAGCCAACTTAGCTCCACTTGGTGAACTAAGGGAAGTAGGGAATTAGTTTCATGAGAATTTGTTATCTACAGCAAACAATATATGGCTTCAAAAATACCAGTTACACAATGGTCATATTATTTAATAATCAGTTTATATTTTGTTTTTAACTCCAAAATTTGCAAATGAAGACTTCACTAAAAATACAGGACTGGTTGAGAAAAGGGACTGTGATGAAGGGAGGCCTCTAGGCTGTATGCAATGTTGTATTTCTTGCTCTGAATGGTGGCTACTTGGGAGTTCACACTGTTACTCTGTTAAACTTGGGCATAAACTTTAGATACTTTTTCATATATGATACATAGGGAACAAACACGTAACATTAACATTACCCAAGGCAGTGGCTTTTGGATACTCAATGGAGTCACTACAGCGAGGAACACTGGAGATGGAGCCTCACAGTACATAACGAGCTTAAGTTAGGACGAGGCAACTTTGTGGAAGTCAAAAATGCTTTGCTGAAAGGCCAGAAGTTAAGAGCTCCAAAAAGATCTTAAAAGGTCTTGCCTAACTCCCTCCTTTTGAAGGGAAGGAAACCTAAGTCCAGATACATTATCAGACTCCTCAAAGGTTCCCCCAGCCGGACCTACTACTGTTGTGTCTACAGAAACCACAATTGTAATTTTAATGCAGTTACATGGTGGTTACCAGTAAAGAGTCTGAGCAAAGCTGACTGAAAAACTGGAACCTACAGACACACAAAAATGTCAACATACACATTCTGACTCCCCAAGCTTATCAGGCAAGGGAGGGAAGCACTCACCCTTACACTTTCCAAACACTGCAGGAAGAGGAAGGTGAAAAAGGCTGAGGAAACCATTTCCCACCAGGATACGTCCTGGACTACGGTAGAAGAGTCCACTCTCTTCTAGGGGCACTCTGCACCCCGGCACTAAGAGCCAGCATTTACCCGCCTGTTTACCGACCACACTGTTGGGGAGAGTTAAACTGTCCTTAAGTTGCTGGATTCTGGACCCTTTTCAAATCAAAACCCCGAAGGGCCCAGAGCTTTTCCTGCCTCCCCAGTCTTCACCCAATGGCCTGTAATGCTGGACTTAGACTCCCTAAGAACACCCCGAGAGGCAAAAATGCCCCACCCTATACCAGTGACCGCAGGTTAGTGCACCAACAGCCCGGAAACTGAAAGTGCTTTTGGGCTACATTCTTAAACGCTTGGTGCCGAAAGGACCACCACAGACATCACATTGAAGCTCCCACCCTAGGCTTTCTTTCAAGGCCCAATATGCGTCTCCTCTCCCTCTCTCGGTGTCAGTCCATGAAATAAACAAGCTTGTCGGCTTGACCTAGGCAATCAACGTGCAGAGCGACTGCTTAAGCATAATTCAAACGCCGACTTGGGCCTTTGGTTTCTCCTAGGTCAAAGAGGCCAGAATTTTCTTTCGGTGGGGATGTTTGGCCTTACTATTCAACGAATCTCCCCCGGTATTTGCTGAAATATGGCCCTGAGAAGCCCCTTAATTGCTTTCTGGAAAGGGAATGCGATGGGATTAATGGTAAAAACGAGGAAGCAGCCGATCGAGGGGCTCTGAACGGCGGGAGCACACGTTCCGCCTGAAGCCCGGTCGGGCAGAAGTTCGGCATGGGGCTGCGACCCGCCAAAGATGATGGGGCTCCAGCTAAAGATCGGTGCCCCTCGACTCACAGATCCGCGAGGTCTTTTTTGTTTATTTGCACTCCCCCCACGCCCTCCCCACCGGCCTTCTCGGTGAGGCAGAGTCGCCCTCGGGCTCGGGCCGCCTTCCTAGAAATGAGGGTGGGGCGGGGAGTCAGGGGGACCGCCGGCCTGCGGCCTCCCAAACCGCCATCGACGCCCCCCCCGCCCCGTTTCGGGGTGCCGGGCTCAAGGCCCGGCCGAGCCTCCCCCCCCCACCTCCGCGCGGGGCCCTCGAGCGCAGGCCCCGCCCACGTGGCGGGCAGCCCGGAGCGCGCGGACGGACGGTCGCCGCACAATGGAGGCCGCAGTACGGCCCGCGCGCCCCCGCCGCCGCGAGCTCCCCACGCGCCGGGGGGCGCCGGAAGGTTCCAGAACTGGCCTGCGCGGTTGGGGGAGGGGAGGGAAGGAGAGGAGAGCGCGGGCCCTCGAGCTCATCGGGCCGCGGGGGGACCTCACACCCTTCTTGGCTACTGCACTCAGTCGTCTCGGCCGCCCCCAGGGATAAGCGGGTCCCCACTTTAGGCATCCCGGCCGTCGCCGGCGCGACCGCCGTTCCACCACACTCACCCGTTGACGCCATTTTCTCTCCTTCCTTCTCGTTCTCTCAACGTCCGTCTCCCTCTCGCTTTCCCTCTACGCGCTGCACTGCGCAGGCGCGAAACCCGCAACCTCGGGCGCTACCATCGGACCAGGCCACGGGGGTGGGGGAACGAGGGATGAACCACTGCTTTCCCGTCCTTCCTGCCCGCAGCTCTTGTCCTAATCCTCTGTAAAGAGCGCCGAAAGTGACACACGGCCAAAATAGCACCAAAGAGGTCGGAGCGGTAGGTGACGGGGGTCCTAGTATCAAGCTGGAGTGATTTATTGAACGAAGCTAATTCGTTCGGAATGGTTAAGTCCGCTGGCTCTAGGGACCGTCTCTGAAGAGTCGGCCTTGGAGGAAACGGAGGGCGGCGGGAGGGCTGGGGGAAGGGACCCGGGTCTAGAACAACTGCTGACTAAGCGGCGGGCGGCGTGGGTGGCGGGGGTGGCGGTGGCGCGCTCGCCGGACAGCCGGGGTCACGCGCCCGAGTACGAACAGAATGGGCTCGGGGCGCTTGGCCCCCCGCGGGAAGCTAGACTCCCGACTCGCAGCCGGGGCCCTCACTGGGCCTTCCGGGGGCGGGGGGTGCGCTCCACAGTGAGTACCCCGGACACGTGGCCCGGGCCCGAGGGCGAGGGGGCCGAGGCTGGTAGGTTGGATGGGAGGCTCCGAAGGTCCCCGAGAGCCGACCCCCACCTCTAGTAACGGTCCGGGTTGAGAAAGCCCTTATTCACCCCCTCCCCCCGTCTTATATCCTTGTTTTTACAGAAGGGGAAACTGAGGCCCAAGGAATTTAGGACTCTCCTAAAGTTACAAAGCTGAATCCGTCTCTACACCCTGGCACCCCCCAACTCTGTCCATCATCCGGAAGAATCTTTCCCCGACTTTGCCTTCCCCTTCTGTCCTGTCTTCCCAGTAAGGTAGGCAGGGCCTGATGGTGCACGGCCCCATTTTATAGATGAAGAGACCGAGGCCCAGAGGGTTTAAGCCTCAGTTCTTTCTGTCCTTGGGCAAGTTCTTCACCGTTGCCAAGGCCCCAGGGGAATGATTGTGAGGGTGTAAGAGGCTTGCAGCAGGTGCCCTGGCTCCCGGCAAAGCTGGTACCTGTTTGCCTTTCACAGGACTCAACCCAGTCTCCTCAGGCCCAACAAAGGGCAGGCTTTGCCCAAATCCCTCAGGGACCTGGAGCTAGGCTAGTGCCTTCCTTTCAACAAACACGTTGGGGAACTTGGGGATGAGTAACAAGAGCTCCCTTCTGCTCCCCACAGAACAGACCACCTGCCCAGGGAGACCGACAGGCCAAGCTGTGCTCATTAGATAGGATAAGATCCATGAAGGGGAGGTGGGGGTTGGTGGCTAGAGGACAGGAAAGAGTCATTTGAACTGGGCTTCAAGAGGTGAATAGGAGTTTGCTTGTGAGAGACTTGGAGGAAAGCACATGGCAGGCTGAGGAGCTTTCTGCATTTTCCCTGCAGGAGCCTGGCAGGTGGGTTTTGAGGCTGAATTATATACTCTTGTCAAGCGAGCAGATGAGGCAGCCTTGTCTCTCTGGGATTTGGTTTCTGCTCTGAAATCCGCTCATGAGAATACTGAGATAGAGCTGGCCAGGGGGCAAGAGTTCCAGCAGGGCGTGGAGGATAGGTTGGATAGGGGAGGAGAGAACAGTGGGCAGGGAATTGGCAGTTTGAGGGCCAGAGCTTGGACCAGTTAGGTTGGAGCCGTTTTCCATGCTGAGGCCTCCTCCTGTTGGGCCAGCTGCTGGCTACATCTGCCCCCGCACAACTAGCCAGGATGGCTGCAGTTTCCTGAGCAGGAGCTGTGATCCAGGCTCTTCCTTAGCCCATTCCTTTTCTTAGCCTACGAGGAAAGGATTTTCTAATCCCATTTTACAGATGAGGAAGGAGCGACTCAAGAGGCTGGAAAACTGGCTTAGGTATATGCAGCAGAAGGTAGGGGAGTGGACACTGGAACCTTCCTGTGAAAAAGCGGTCCTAGGGCCAGAGGGACTGTGCAGGGGGCTAGAGGAAGGGGACATCTTAGTCAGTGTCACTTATTATGCACTGGGGATGTGGGAGTCCTGGGGCCCCTCCTCTAACCCTTGTGCCCACCTCCTCCCTAATCTGCCTGCCCATTGGCTGGCCTCGCCCCCTCAGTCAAGGGCAGCTGAGGCCATCTGGACCTTCTAAGGCTGGGCACAGTGGAGGTGAGGAAGAAGGAAGGTGGCTGGTCTGCAGCCCAGGATAAGAGGGAGGCAGAGAAAACTGGCCCTGAACTTGCCCTGGAGGGCTGCACCCATTTTTTGGGAGTCCAGGGCTCCGGTTCAACTTAACATGGCCCTGTGCCTCCCTCCTCAGGCTCCTCTTTAGGGTCTGTCAGGGTCAGGGCTCTTTTGGCCTGGCCCTTCCCCAACCTCACACATTAGCAGATGTCATGGCAAGGTGGCTGAGCACGTGGTGAGGGTCTGAGCTCCGCTGTGGTCAAGTTGCTGGGCCTGCCTCTGCAGCCTCAATTTCTACTTCTGTAAAATGGAGCTGTTGGTCAGGTAGTTGAAAGGAAATCAGGTAAAAGCTGCAATAATAACGGTCATAACTGTTTTCCTTTACTCCTAGCACACAGCCCCAAGACCACCCTTGACCACCTCCAGCCAAGTTATGCTTGCCAGGAGCCCTCCTGGCCTGCGGTCCCCGACGCTGCCTCTCGCCTCCTCAGTCCTGATGGTGCTGCTGAGCAGCCTGTGGCTCATAGGGGCTGGTCCCAGCCTTGTCCTTGCCCCAGGGCTGCTGCTGGACCCTTGGCAGGGTGAGGGCCAGCTACGTGGGCCTTGGAAGAGGCAGACTTGCTGTAGGGCCTCCTTGCAGCTGGCAGGAGCCACATGCATCCTGCAGTGGCCAAGCAGGGATAGGACCCCGTGCCCCAGGGAAGCTCAGCCTGGGTGGGGGCATGCCTGGCTCACCCACAGCCAAGAAGGGAGGGCAGAGGACCCAGGCGGAGGGGCCGGCAGAGGGGTGGGAGCCTGTGAGTCGGAGTTCTTTTCAGATGGTTTTGCTTTCTGATGGCTTTCTCTTGAAATAAGAACTAAGATTTCCAGCTAAGCATGAGAATGGGGACGAGGTGCTGGGGTTTGAGGAGTAAGCCCTGCTGAGCGCCCATTTCCCAATAATAACACCAGCTTCCATTTACATTTGAGGAACCCAGATGATGCTCACAGAGGCTGAGTGGCTCATCCATAGTTGGTTGCTCTTGAGAAGACTGGTGGGTCAGGCTTGTCCTGTTTAATACAGCAGGGGAGCGGCCACAGCGTTTGGAAGTCCTTGGCCCCCTTCACAAGTGCTTGGCAGTGGGCAGACTGGCTTCTGGGGAGGGGAGGCTGGCTTAGCAGGTGGCCCTAGTGGAGGGTAATTCCCAGCCTGGCACACCTGGGACAGCTTTTGGGGTTAGGACCACTAACCTGGTGCATAAGCCCCTTCTCTCTCCCAGCACACCGGCTGCTGACCCATGCCCTGGGCCACACAGCCCTACCTGGCCTGCTCCTGAGCCTGCTGCTCCTGCCTGCACTGGGCTGGCAGCAGGAGGGCCAGCTGGGCACGCTGCGATTCCTGCACGCCTCTGCCCTGCTCGCCCTGGCTTCTGGGCTGCTGGCTGTGCTGTTGGCAGGCCTCGGTGTATCCAGTGCAGCCAGGGGCTGCGGATATATGCCTGTCCACCTGGCCATGCTGGCAGGGCAGCGTTACTGCTCTAGACAACCCAAGGGGGCACTGCCACCGTGGCTGCTGCCATGGCTGCTGCTCGCCCTGACGCCACTGCTCAGCTCAGAGCCACCCTTCCTGCAGCTCTTCTGTGGCCTCCTTGCTGGCCTGGCCTGTATCCTTTGCCTGGGCCCAGGGCCCACGGGGACATGTGGATTCTGTGGCTGGGGCCTCAGAGTGCCTGGGAAGGGAAGTTCTAAGACCAGCAAAGCTGGGAAGCTGTGCACACATTCTAGGGGCATCTCTGAGTTCTCTAACCAGACAGACTCTGGGCTGAGGACTCAGGTTCATGGCTAGGGGTGGTGCTGATTACAGGGTAGGATAGTCCAGGAGGAGTGAGGTGGCCCAAGGAGGCACCTGACTGGACCTCCCCAGTGGAGGTGGCATCTGAGATGAGGCGTGCAGGATAAAGGGTTCAGGTGAAAAGAAGTGAGAAGGAGAGCAGGGCAGACAGAGTGCAAAGGCAGGCGGCGAGAGTGAGTGTGGGCTCTCTGGGCGCTGAAGGGGCACCACCTGTGGCTGCTGGTTGCAGGTATGTTTATCATAGGCTTTTGTTCCAAAGATGCTTAGTGCCTGCTGGGGAAAACGGTGCAATCAGAGAGAATGGTGGGCCCAGACTGACCCCCTGTAGTTTAGCACTGGGGACACCAGCTGCCCAGGCCTGGCTGAATCCCGGGTCGGGAGCATGTTGCCCTGGCTGAGGGCAATAAGGGGGTGTGTCAGTGGGCCCAAAGGTGGGCCTTGAATTGCAGACCTGAGCACTCAAAACAGAGGGGGGCGGGGGGTGGCTGGAACAGGACAAGACGGGCTTTAGGATGAGGCTCATCTGGCTTCATCTCTTACTGGCTGAGAAGCTTCGGGCAGGTCCCTTTTCCTCTCTGAGCCACCACTGCTGATGAGGGTGATGACAAACCCCTTGCAGGCCCGTAGTAGGGAGGGAATGCCCACCACACGTTTGGCACAGGGCCTGGCATGCTGTGTGGGCTTGCCCCTGGCTGGTTTTGGTGTTCCTTGACCAGCTGCCCTGCCCTGGGCAGAAAGATGGAGCTGGAGCCTTCCGGTGGCTGGAGCTCTCGGAGCAGCGGCTGCAGGCGCTCCAGGAGGGGGTCTTCTGCAGGGCCCTGGCGGAGTGCTGGCCTCTCAGGCTCCTTCCCTCGCCAGGCAGTGTGGCTGCACTGCCGGTCAGCCGTCCTGCCGGAGTGAGGTGAGGGTGGGGCTGAGGATACCGGCCCTGGTGGTGGAAGCTGTGGCAGTGACTGGCAGTCAGGCCCTCTTGTTTCTGCCCCTCCAGGCCTCCCACCCCTGGACCGCCTTACACGGCCTCCCCTAGCCTCTGGTCCCACAGTGAAGACTCTGCCCTGCTCGTGCCAGGCCTGGGGCCTGCACTGCCAACCTGGGAGGACTCCTCAGAGGTGGGCCTGGCCTGGGCCAGTCCCAGCTTACCCCGCAGCACCTCGCTGTGGGCATCCCTGGATGAGCAGATGCTGCAGGCAGGGATCCAGGCGTCGCTCCTTGAGGGGCCGGCCCAGTGTCCCGGGAGCTCACTGTGGCTGCCTAAATCCTCCGTCTCTTCTCTGCGGTAAGGCAGGGTGGGCAGGGCTTTGTCCTCTGGGGTGGAGGCTGGAGGTGGCTCTGACGGTCCTTGCCTGCCCCTTCTCCCCCCACCCTGTTCCACAGGCTGCAGCAGCTGGAGCGCATGGGTTTCCCCATGGAGCAGGCGGTGGTGGCACTGGCAGCCACAGGCCACGTGGAGGGCGCCGTGTCACTGCTGGTCGGCGGGGAGGTGGGGGCTGAGGCCCTGGTGACTCAAGGGAGGAGCGGGCCTGCCAACCCGGAGGGCCCTGGACCCCCCTAGCCGAGGTGGGCTCTCAGGTGACAAGAGGCCCAGCCTTGGGCAGGTGGTCTGAGTCCAACCCTGTCTGCTGAGAGTCACAGCAGGGTGCAGGAGAGGCCCCTTCAGCACCCTGTTCTGGTACTGTTTAGAATAAAAACCAGTTCACCTTTCAGCCTGGACCTTCTCAGGGGCAGCAGTTGTGTCTGACTCTTCTGTGTCGGCGTCCGGTGGAGGGATGAATGAATGAACAAACAGTGAACAAACAGCCGATTGCAGGACAGCCGCTCCCCGCCTCCAGAGCCCCAGTGTCACTGTCCCTGTGCTGTGCAGCCTCTTCCTTCGGGAAGCTGCGTCTTCCACCCTGGGGCCTTTGCTATGTCGGATTCTCTTTCAAGGAGTGTTCGTTGTTCATTTCCCACGGGTTTCTGCCCACCTTCAGATCTTAGCCTACACAGAGACTTCCAGGAAGCCTTTCGGATTCCTCAGGAATGTTGTCCCTTTGCTGTCCACAGTCCCATGTCCCTGCAGGACAAGGACCACTTCAGTTGGCCTAGAGCAGGTTCAGTGGCTGGTGGCTGTGCCCTGATGGGTCCAGATGCCTCGAAGTCTCCCATGAAAGGGGTATGTGGACAGAGCAGAGAGGGCAGAGGGTGGGGCATGGGTATGAGTTGCTGACGGACTAGGGGGAAGGGCAAGGCAGGGGGTGGTGCAGAGAGCGCCCTGTCCTGGGGCATCCTGTACTCTGGTCACTTGTGGGGGCTGTACCCCAGGCCAGGGCGAGAGCAGAAGGGCTGTAGAGACTGACCCTGCTGTTGGTCACTGGCCAGGGGCCAGAAACAGACTGGGGAACCCGAGGGCCACCCATCAGTCAGTCTCATCTTACAGGTGAGGAAACTGCGGGTCTCCCAGTCCAGAAGCTGCCCTGAGGTCTGCTGTTCCTTGCTTCCCTGGCCTCTCAGAGGCTGCAGCCATTGCTGGCCAGCTGGCCAGAAGGTAGGGGTAGGCTGAGCCTCTCTGCTCACCTACCCCCATGCCCCAGCTGCCCACACACTGGCCAAGGGAGCCCTGGCCAGCCTAGCCCCGTGCAGGCCAGCCTCCTACCCTGCTCCACAGATGGGCAGTGAAGGCCCCAGAAGAGGCGAGAAAGGCCCCTGGCCCTGCCTGGCTCGGCTGCCCCCAGTCTAAGCACACACGGAGACCACGCTGGTGGGAATGGGAAATAAGGCTGGGGGCCTTTATTAGCCTGCAGATATCCTCCTCCAGGGGGCCCCCTCCCTCCCCATGACCACACACCTTCCCTGGGACATAGAAGGGACAGGGGGTCAGGAGTTAGGACAGAGGCAAGGAGCCCCCAACATCCTGCCAGGGCAGGCAGCTTGAGCTCAGGGTGGGAACCCAGCACCAGAAATCAAGAAAAGGAGGGGCTCGCATGGACTGCCCAAGGTTCGGCTAGGGGGCAGGGAAGGCAAGACTGCCCCCCCCAATCACCCCTGCCTGTGCTGAGGGCCAGGAGAGCCCCAGCTTCTGATGCCTTCAGTGCCTGTGGGCTTAGATGCCCAGGCAGCTGGTGAGTCCGAAGCCTAGAGCCTGTTACCCGCTCCCTGCAGGCCTTCATCACCCCACGTCACAAAGGGAAACAGGCCCAGAGTCCTGAGCAAGGCCTCACCTCTCACCTGAGCCACCCCTCCCTCTCACGCCATAGCCCCTGCTTAGCCTCAGAGGAGGCAAATGTGCACGGGGTGCCAGGACAAGACCCGCCTACCCCAAAGGCCTAGGCGGCAGAGGGGACCCTGAGGACATTAATAAATATGGATGGGCAGTCCCTGGAGGCAGCTCCTGGCCCACCCCGAGGGGCCACACTCTCCTCAGCCTCTCTCGTTGCGGCTTCTGGGGGCCACGATCCGGTAGTTGGCTGTGTGTCCTCCCCTCTTGCCCCGCAGGAGGCTGGCGGTGCCCGAATCGGCGGGGCCTGCCCCCGACCCCTCTGGTTCTGCCGGAGGGAAGGAGAGAAGCCAGGTTAGTGAGGCCTCTGCGAAGGGCCCGTCTCCCCTTGGTCCTCTGGAGGGGGGGTGACCAGGCTCTGCCCTGGTGTCCGGGAGGCTGAGCTGTGGCAAGGAAGGGGGTCCGTCAGCCAGTTAGTGCCCTGCTCCAGTTGTCAGTCCCCCGCTCAGAGCACTCCAGGCTTCTGCTTGATTCTCTCTGTCAAGCGGGGATAAACGAACCCACCGTTTCTGAAATGCTCAGCATGTAGTGACGGTTCATGAAAGTATAGTTCTTTTCCACATTTTGGGGTGGACTTGTGCCCCGAGTCACCCCGCTTCGTAGCTAGGTAAACTAACGGAATAGAGGCGCTCTTCTTTTTCCCTAGGGTTGGGCCACCTGTGGTTGGGAAGATTTTAGGGAGGCCAGGCTCTGCCACTGACGTGCTGTGCAGCTTTGGGCGGGCAAGGCAGACCTCTGTCAGGGCCTCAGCTGTCCCATCTCTAAAACCAAGGGGACTGTTCCAGGACACTCTGACATCCTGGCCAATTCCAATATCTATTAAAGTCAATTCCAACTTGGCTGTGGGGAAATATGCTCCAACCTGGAAATAACCTGACCCCTGTCAGAGTGAAATACATAATTGGCATTCTTGTAAGCTGGAAAACCTCTCCTCATCCTTCAAAACCCAGAGCAGGACCTACCTCCTCCAGGAGCCTTCCGTCACTATCATCTCAGTCCCTCTCTAAATTAAATGAGCAGACCAGACATGTCAGAAGGGTGGAATGTTTTTCCAGGGGAGAAGAATGCTCAGGGAAGAGAACACCAGGATGGAGGAGTTGGCCGATCCTCCAAAGCTCTGATCAGAGGACAGACTCTTGGGCCCCGGTGAGCACCAGCTTCCCACCGAGAGCACTTGCAGGGGAGTGGGCCACACTCTCGTTCCTCTCCAGTGCCCTGGCCCTCTGTGCCCCAGCCTCTCATGCACCTCTGGGCTGAGATCTGGGGCACCGGATGTGGTTGCAGCCAAAGGACATTGCATGCCCTAAATCAGGGAGCACAGGAGGAGGCGGCACAGAGCTCAGGCTTCAGCATCAGCTAGGGCTGAATCCTGGCCCCACCATGGCCCAGTTATATGACCTTGGGCAAGTCACAGAACCTCAGCCTCATCTGGAAATGGGATAAAACTCCTGTGTCACACCCTTGTAAGTGCTGAAGGTGACCAGGAGTAGAAAGTGGTTTTCATGGTAAATGCTGGATTGTTATGGTCACCAGGTTGGTGTGCTTTTGACCCAGGTCTCCTGCAGGTCTGATCACTGTGAGTCAGTCATGAGATGCTATTCTGACACCATCAAACTGAGGCCCCTCGGTTTCCCTGGGCTCTACTCAGTGCCTAGTGGAACAGAGGCATCAGCAGAGCTTTGCTGATAAAGCCAAAAGAGCCAGCAATTTAGTCAGGCCTAGGGCGGACTCCCGGCTTCGCCACTACCATTCCCATGACCCTGAGGGAGTCACATGAGTCTTCTGAGCCTCCGTTATGTCATCTGCAAAATATATCTGTGAAATATCAGCCACCTAACAAGCTTGTTGCCAAGACTGGAGATGATCGATGTAAATCCCCCAGCCAGGGAGGACTGGGTGTGTGACAGCTGTTACCAGCATAGTCGTTATTGATTATAAACTAAACACGAGCCCCATCTGGGTCTTTAGTTAGTACCTGCTGTGTACAATGGGCCAATGGGGAAGGCTTCATCTCTCCTGCTTCCCTCCTTCCATATCTCCCCTTCCAGGCCCCAACCCAAGTTGGCTTGTAGGCCACTCTCCCAGGCTTGTGGCCAGAGAGTGGCTATGAGCCTTCCCAGGTGACCAGCACTTCCTCCCTGGGCTGCCAGTGACAGAGCCGACTGGAGGGTGGGGTAGGGTCCACGGCCACAGTATTTCCCAGCCAGGCTGAGGGAGGAGGTGAGCGACACCTGAAAAGGTGCTGAGAGCCGGGGATTCGGGCTTGTCGGAACAGGAGGAGGACTGGGTGGCGGCCACTGATGTCTCTAGAAGTTAGGCCACTGGCATGGTGGGAGAGCTTGGGAAGCAGGCCACATAGCACCTTCCAAGCTCCAGGCCTTTGCCCATGTAGGGCTGTGTCAGGGCTGCCCTTCCCACCTTCTCCTGGCACACTCACAGGGATCTTCCACTACCTGGTGCAAGTCCCCTCCTCCAGGAAGGCTTCTCCAAGCCCCAGAGCGAAGTGATGGCTCCTTGCTGTACGTCCTTTGGTGCTCCTGTGCCTGTGGCCTTCTTCTCTATAGATACTGAGGGTGTCCCACTTGAAGGGCAGCTCCCCAAGGCAGGTACTCTTGGGATCTGCCCAGGACCCACCCAGACCTGGTATTCAGTGAGTGTGCCCTCCCGTTGTGTTGAATGGAGGCTTGGTTCTAACCTCGTCCCTCCCTGCTCAGGGCCTCAGTTTCCCCACCTGTAAAAGAGATGTGATGCTGGACATGATATCTGAGGCTTGTGTGTAACAGTGCAGTAGGACTGGGCTGTGAGATGGGGTGGCTGGAGGTGGGAAAAGGGTGACTGTTGGGGCCTCCTAGTGAGTAGGTGAGGACTGAAGCCCAGCCCCAAGGGCAGCCAACCCCTGCCTCTCTCAAGGGCCAGCCAGAGGCTCCAGTTTAATGGGGAGTGACCTTAGCTTCACCATGACAAGCTACGCACAGTACGGTACTGCTCACAACCTCCTTCCACACCTCCCCAACCTGCCTTCTAGAACCTTCTCAAACTGGGCCCTGACTAATCCTCTAGACTCAATGGTCACTTTTTAGCAACCTCAGGGAGCCATCCCTCAAGGCTCTGTCTAGCCTCTTGGCTTTTACTCATGCTGTTCCTCTGCCTGTTCACTTGCCCTCATCCTTGCCCTTTAGGCCTCCACTTAGACCACCTCCTCCAGGAAGCCCTCCTTGAGATATCCTCCCCCATACCCAGTCTGGGTCAGGGGCCTTCTGTGCTCTCATGGCTACCTGTCCTCTCTTCACTGTGCTATTCCTCACCCTGGGTTCAACAGCCAGTTCCAGGGCAACCCTCCCTTATCCCCACACCCTAAGCTCCATGAGAGCAGAACTATGTCTATCTTATCTGTTGGAGCCTGTGGCAGCAAGGTGCCAGGCACCATCTGATGGCCGTACGGAAGGACTGAAGGGTGTGTGTCCACTGGCCTGGATCCAGCACAGAGAGGTGCCTTCTGTGCCCCCAGGCCCTTCCCAGGTCCTTCCTGGAAGGGGCCTGCCCACCCTGCCATTACCTGGCCAGATGATGGCTTCCAGCAGGGTGACCCGTCTGGCCAGGAGCTCCAGCTGAGCCTGCTGCTGCAGGAAGCTCTGTAAGCTAGGAGCCTGATGGGAGATTGAGAAGAGCAAACGGTGCGAGTCCGGCCTCTGAGGGCTGGGCCGGAGGGCTGCGGGCGAGTGTGGGGCCAGGGACCAGCAGGCTTCAGGGCAGGAGCCGGGTGTGGGTCTGTATCAGGACTCTGGCCTCCCCTTCTAAGTGAGGGTAGGGCCTGCCTGGCTTCTCTTGGGTGGTGGAGAATTGGGGGTGAGTGCCTTGCACTGAAGGCTGGCTCTCTCAGGCCCCTAAAGGGACTGGCAGGGCAGGGTAGGAAGACCTGAGGGGGAATGGCAACTGTAAAGGGGTACTTGGGGCCAGGAGGGCCTGCCCTGTGAGAACCTCTGGGGGCTCTGAGGAGGGGGGCTGGAACCTTGGAGTCCTCTGGGCTCTGAGTGTGGCTCTGTCACCCACAGTCCCCTGCGTTTCTGGAGTCTAGCTCCATGACCTTTTGTCCTGTGGGCCTGGAGACTGGCCTGAATCCAGCACAGGGAGGTGCCTTCTGTATCTGCTGGCCCATGATTTCTCTAGAGCTGAAGCCTGAGTGGAGTCTGGATTCATTACCCATACTCCTCTTGTGGGCCTGGGCTCTGACTTTATTTCCCACCATACACTGCACTGTTGCAGTCTGGCTGTTACCCACAATCCCCTGCTGCTCTGGAGTTTGGTTCCATTGCCCATAATTTCTTCCCAACTCAAAATCTGTCACCTCTGAAATTCCCCTACAGGCCAGAAGCCACATTACCCACAATGCCCAGAGGCCTAGGTCTAACCACAGAGGTGGGGACCCAGGTTTCAAGGGGTCCCCCCTCACCTGTGGAGGAGAGACCAGCCATTGAGGGATGGGTGGTCTTGGCCTCTCAGGTCCCCATCTGCTCAGTGCAGGGACCTTCTCCAGCCTCCTGACTGGGCCTAGGCAGCTCCACCCCTGGAGGGCCTGGGGAAGGCTGGTGGGTGGGGGCTGGGCTGTCTGTCCGTCTGTCTGTCTGTCTCTACTCACCATAGAGCCCAATCATTGTTTCCAAGATTAAAACCCTCTCAGCTAAAATCTTCAAAGCCTCGCGTAGTTGGAGCAACCCCTCCCCCTGTGGAGGAAAGAGACAGATGCAGCCGTGAAGAGGGCCCCGCAAAGCCTGTTGATGGCCCATACACCCCCCCAGACATGCGCCCGCAGCCCCACACCACCTGCACAGCCCAGGGCCCACGGACAGCCGGGACAAGACAAGGAGGGGGCAGGAGAGGGCAAGGCAGGCGGAAGCAGCCCCCTCGGTACGTTCGGACGGACCCCAGCTGGCTGCTCTCTCCCTGCAGCCCCCCAGATCCTGCTGCACTCGGGCATGTGATGCCAGTCCAGGGAGACACCGCTGCTACTCCAAAGCCCACCACGGGACCTGCAGGGGAACCTGCCTGGAGGTTGTCACGGGGCACCCCCTCCATCTCTGTTGCCTCACGTCACCTGCATGATTCCTGCCACGTCCCTGGGCCACCCATGCTCTTGCTTACTTGATATACTTTAAACTGACTCGCCTTTTGCCTTAATACTGTGTTAGTTTCACTCTGACTGTACCAGTGAGATCAGGCTACTTACTGATATCCTTTACAGTCACGTCAAAATGAATATATACGGGGAAAACCAGAAAACGTTTGTGACATCGCTGTTGGAAAGCTGTGCTTAAAATGCTGGAGAAGCTGAGAGTTAGGCCCCGTTCTCCCCCCGGCTCTTCTCACTTTGGGTCCCTCCCTCCTGGGTGCCGACTGCGCCAGGTCCCCGGTCTGCACGTCCTGAGGCGGCCCTCAGCCCCGCCTTCTCTTCCCAGCAGCAGCTCCAGGACCCAGGCTCGGGGTTGTGCAGTGGGCTCACAAAGCCCCTCCCGCAGGCCTCCCCCCTCCCCACGTGGTGCCCGCTGCTGCCCGAGGCTCAAGCCAGAGACCCCCAGCTGGTCCCCACCTTCCCTTCCTCCCAGTCTGTCCTTTCCTTTCCCAGCATGGTGTCCACCGTCTTGCCAATACTCCCCACTCCCTCACTCCTTCCCTAGTGCAGATGGAAGCTATTTCCAGAATGTAGATATCTTAATTCAATGGCAAATAGAACTAATCCAGCCCTGACATATCTAGGAGTCTCTCCCCACATCCTATGCTTAGTAAAGATTAAATGAAAGGGTGACATGCAATACACATATTGCTACAATTACACTCCAGCCCTTTAAGCTAGCTGTTTCCACGGAAACCCCTACACACTGGAGGCCTCCCGGTGTCTGTGAGCCGGCAGGGGCCTTGCTGGGACTGTCCGTCACGTGCCAGCTGTCCTGCCCACAGCACCTGGGTCTATCCTTAGACCACTGACTGGCCATTGCAGCCTGGGGGGTCACAGGGTCACCATGGGCTGCACACCAAAGCAATCCCTCTTCAAGTATTACAGGGGCAGGATCTAAAAATGGATGACTTTTAAAAATTACATCAAGCCACTCCCAGCATGGACAGTGGGACAAGCAGGCTTCATGAGCCTCCTGATAAGATGTGGTAAGAGGGCCCCTACCCCTTGCTACTGCTCCTGACAAGAGTATTTAACTTACATCTGATTAGGAGGAAACAGACAAATCTAGACAGTGAAACATTCACAAAAAGACAAAGTCAAGAGAAGAAAAGGGCAGGGGGCTCGTTCTAGATTCAAAGAGACCAAGAAGTGACAACAAAATGTAATGCATGACTCTTGATTGGATGTTGGATGTTTTTAAAAAGCCAGCTATAGAACGTATGTTGGGGATGACTGGTAAAATTTGTTATGCGTTAAATGGAATCATCTCCCTGAATTGATGTCAGCTTTCTCAGGTATGACAGTGGTACTGTGGCTCTTTGGGAGAATGTCCATATTCTTTCAAGATACATGCTGATATGTCAGGGGAGATGTGGATGAGGTTTGTGACTTACTTTCAAATGCACTTAAAAAAAGGTTTGCAAATATATAGGGAAAGAGAGCAATTGTGGCAAAATACTAATAATTGGTCAGCCTAGAGGAAGGGTAGAAGGATATTCATTGTGCCAATTTTTCTGCATATTTGAAAATTTTCAAAGAAATCTGGAGGAAAAAAATTTTTTGAACTCTGCTATTTGGATCCTTTCCCAGATGGGTGACCTGCTGTTTGCACTGATGACATCCCAGACTTCTCCCAGCCTGGCCCAAGTGTCTAGGGCCTGCTGCACACCCCGACTCAGCTGTAACACAGCTATCTCCCATTTTCCATGGACAAAACTCAGCAGGCTTGCCTCTTCTGTTTCTCTTTTGCTATTATAAAAGTATTTGGCCCTCTCTCACAGCCAAACTAGCACCCAAGTGTCTCTTAGGTCCCTTGACATCTGTCCATCCTCACTTCCATCCCACACAGTCTTTTGCCAGAATTACCACAACAGCTTCCTGTCTAGTCTCTCTCTTTCTGTTTCTCTCACGTTGCCCCTTCTGTTATCCATTCTCTACACAGCAGTCGAGGGATCTTTCACAAACAGAAATCTGATCACATCACTCCCCTACCTATAAATACTTCAATGACTACCCACTACCCATAAAAGAAAGTTCAGAGGCTATATTTGACCTCTACTTCCTCACCCCTTGTCTGTCACACTTTACCACTCCAAGTATTTGCAGCTCTTTCAATACCCTAGGCTCACTCTTGCCCTAGGGCCTTTGCACATCATGTTCCCATTCCTCTGCCTGAACACCCTGTGCCTAGTTAATGTAACTTTCAGGTCTCAGCCTCTTTCTCCTGGAGGTCAGTAAACCCTCCCCCATCCCAGCTGAGCTCCCTCCATCCTGTCGCTGCTGGTTACTGGTCTATGGCCTCCCACCCCAGTGTGATCACCCTGAGGGTGGAGACTGGGTCTGCATCGCATCTATGCCCACAGTGCCCAGCCTTGAGAAATGTTAGCTGGTTCCTCCTGTTCTGGGAGCTGAAAAGCTTGGGCTTTAGTTCTAGCTCTGCTAACAGTTTGCTTTGTGGAGCTGGGCCTCAGTTTTTTCTGTTTATATAAGGGATATGAGCTTTTGAGTAGATGCGCTGGTCCAGCCCAGTCATTCCTGGGTCGTGCCTGCAGTGCCTGCTCACGCCCACTGGGTGACACTGCTGAGTAACAGCCGGGCCGCTGGCTCCAAAAGCTTCACCAAGTGAGGTTGGCGGGCAGAGTGTGTATAGGGGCTCTGGGGGTCTTTCCCCACACTGGACCTCATCCCCCCTGTCCCCAACAGAACTGGTTCCCCAGCCCCCAAAGCCTCATGCAGCCCCCAGCCCAGCAGGCCCCCCTCCCAGGCAGGTGGCAAGCAGGGGTAGAAGGACAGGGGGTGAGGGGGAAGCATGGATGGGCAGGGGCCCTGCTGCCTCTTGGGGGGCCCTGCCCACAGTGGTCCTGAGGCCTGGTCTGGGACAGTTCAGCCATCCATTCTCCTCCAGGGGTTCCCTGTGCAGGGACAGGGGTATCTGGCCTAGTTTGGCCTTCACCTTACCTCCGCCACATCTCCAGAGCTGGGTGGGAATCATGTGCCCAGACCCAGGATCTCTGGGAGGGGCCTGTGAAGGGGCCCCAGGGAGGAGAGGGCTGGGGTCACAGAGGTCTACCTGACCCCAGCCAGCTCATGCCCATATTGGCAGGGTGCTTAAGAGGTACTCGAGCCACGAGGGGGTGGGAGTGGGGGAGTAGGGTGGCAACGAGGGGCTGGGAGAGGCTTGCTGGAGAGACAGCAGGGCCCCAGTCATGGAAAGACATGGGGGAGGGCTCGTGCAGGGTTGGGGGCTCCCACGGCTGTATCCATCACTGACCCCACAATCAGGAGCAGAGAAGGCAGGGCGGGTGTTGGGTGCCTCCCATGTTCTCACTAACTAGTGTCTGCTGGGAAGTAGGCCATCCCAGCCAGACTGCACCCGGGATGGGGGTGCGGGAGAGGGAGGCTCCACATCAGTCTCCGGAAGAGCTCCCCATTTGTCTTCCCTGTACGGGTGTCTGCCCCCACCCCACCCACTTTCCACATGCCTCCCGTGTCCTGATGGTTTCCAGGCCCCTGCGTCATGGGCTGTGGGCCCTCCCCACATGTGTCTCCGTGGTGGGTAGGTTTCTAGGCCCAGAAATTCTTTCACTGCAACTATCTCAATGATCGTGAAGGTTTCTAGGACTCCACATGTGGTTTCTAGGTCCCCTTTTCCTCTTCCTCGATGTCTCCTGTGTCTGTGGCGGTTTATAGGCCTCCCTTCCCATTCTTCATGGACTTGCTTCGTGTGTAGTAGTTTCTGGTTCCCGTCACCTCATTTTCCCTGGTTCTGTCATACACATGACAGTTTCTAGGCCTCCCCTCCCCCTCCTCATGGGTCGCCTAGGAGGACCGCCTGTTACTTAGTGGTCCTTTGGGCACAGTGGAGTCTAGGTCCTCTGATCTCAGTTACCATGTATAGCCACGTACATGATGGTTTCTAGGCATCCCTTCCTGTGCTTCACGATTTCCTATGTGTGTGGGGGTGTCTAGGTCCCTTGTCCCTTTTACCACAGGGCTCCTGTGTGCTCACCGTTTCTAGGCCTCCCTCCCTATGCTTCATGGCTTTCCTAAGGCACCCATCCCATTCTTTTGTGTAGATATTGTTTTCATGGTTCCCTTCCATCTGCAGACAGAGGAGCAGAAGCCAAAGCCCTTGCTGGGAGGGGGCAATGGAGGCAGGAGATGCAATCTGGACTGGGTCAGCCCAGACAGCCCGGGAAGAACAGGCAGGGTCCTCCTGGCCTGGCAAGGCCACAGAGGGAAGGCAGAGACAGGGACAAAGGCAGACAGAGAGCATGGGGTCTGCCGAAGAGGCTGGCCCTGCCTGGGTGGAAGGGACAGAATGCTGGTGGGGTGGGGTGCGGCTAGGGCTGAGGTTGCAATGGGGATTTGACTGGGGCGTCCATGCTACGAGATAGTCTCCCGAGTGCCTAGGCCAGGAAGGCGCAGTGGGAGGTCAGTGCTGGGCTGGGGCTTACCCAGTGGCTCTTCTCACCAGGGTCTCCTTTGGGGCCAGGTTCTCCCTGCAAGGAGAGAGAGAAGGAGAAGAAATAAGAGAGGGAAAGATCAGAGAGGGGAGGGAGGGAGGGTAAGGGATAGCGAGGGAGGCTGAAAGAGAGACTGAGGCAGAGAGTAGCTTACATTGGACTAACACTAGATAAAATGCAAAAAAACCCCAAGTGTTTGAAGGCAATGGAAGCGACAAAGAGCAGCCAGTAACTGACATTTTCTGCAGGGTATCTGACCTTTGAAAGAAGGGAACTGGAGAGTGGAATCCATGTACTTATGGCTTTTCCTCTGAGGGCACAGCCCAGCTCCCTCAGCCTGCAAACAGTTCAAGCAGAAAGCTTTGGTCTCTTAACCTGAGCAGTCAGAGGTTGGGGTGGAGACTGCCAAAGAAGGAGGAGACTGAGGGGAAATACTGCAAAGCAGGGAGCCACTGTAGGGGAGTGGAATGTGCATAAATACGCTTCTCTAGTGCGTGGATGGCCCGCGAACTGCCCACTCTGAAGTCATGAAGCTGAGACTGAGCCATACCCGAGAGCAGAAATCAACACTCTTCAGAGGAAGATATAGAATCTAGATTCTTGTTACTACATTATCTGTATTGTCCAGCTATGCAAGAAAAATTACTGGACATGTGAAGAAAAAGGGAAAAACAGGAAAATGAGACCTACACTCAAGAGAAAAAGCAAGTCAGTAGAAACAGATCTATAGCCAACACAGATGTTGAAATTTGCAGACATGGAGTTTAAAATATCTATGATAAATATGTTAACAAATCTGGTGGAATTGATATAATGAGTGATGAAATGGGGAATTTCAGGAGAGATGTGAACATTGTAAAAAAGAATCAAGTGGGAATCATGGAAATGAAAATGACAGTATTTGAAATAAAATATTTCATTAGCTGGGATTAACATAAAATTGGCCACAACAAAGGAAAGAATCTATTAACTGAAGACAGGTCAATGCAATAATTCAAACTGGAGAACAGAGAGAAGAAAGATATTTTAAAAAATTAACAGAGCCTCAATGACTCAAGGGATGAGAATCAAGTGTAATTAGAATCCCAGGAGGTAAGGAGAGCACAGGAATAGAAAAAAAATCTTTGAAGAAATATCAACCATTTCTTTCCAAATTTAATTTAAAAACAAAACAGATTTTCTGTTTCTGATCCAGCATTTAAAGAGCTTAGAAGTTGCCATTCTGCCCTAACAACAAGTAAAAAGCTGTACAAACTGAAAAATCAGTGCCTCTTTTTAAAGCCATCATAGGGCAAACCACTGCCCCCAAACCTGCAAGACAGTCAGGTGGATCACAATTTACAGGAGCAGAAACTTCTCTGGGAACCAGGGCCCAGATAGGAAAACTTAAACGTGATTGACAAATTGCTGGAGGCTCATTGGGGACAACTCTGAGAGTTAAAAATTCCAAGAGGACCCAATCTTATGGACCCCACCCACTTTTGTGAGTTTTGCTTCCAGGAGCCCTGTCAGGACCTCACAGTAGATGTCAGAGAAAAATCCCTTCATGCTTTTGGCGGGGGTGCGGGGAATGAACCATCTTGAAATACACCAGTGTATTCTGTTCTTTCCAACAGGTCGTCCCTCAGGAGAAACCATGCTACCAGAGCCTAATGGACCTGGGGTAGAGAAATGCCCAACTCTAGTGGCTCTAAGCTTCCAAATGGAGGAAGGAAATAACCCAACTCCAGTGCCCTCTAGCCATTTTGTCCCATCTATGGTGAAAAACAAGACAAAACAGAAGCTCTGGTGACGTTCGCAGTCCAGGGCCACAGGCTCACCAGACAGAGCCCTGATCAGAGGACTACAGGATGCTTCCCCCCCCACACACACCTCACCACTGCATTGCCAAAGAGCTACTTACTGCAGTGCCTTTTACCCAGTACATCATGTTGAACTTTCAACAAAAAATTACAAGGCATACTGAAAGGTAAGAAACAACAGTTTTAAAAGACTGAACAAATATCAGAACCAGAGTCGGATATAGTGCAAATGTTGGAATTAACAGATCTGGAATTAAAACACAACTGTGATTAATATGCTAAGGGTTTTAATGGGAAAAAAATAGAAAACATGCTAAAATGGATAATGGTTAGCGGAGAGAAGGAATTTCTAAGAAGGATTCAAACAGAAATGCTAGAATTCAGTTGAGGGTCCTCTTCACAGGGTCAGTTAATTAAGGACAATCACATCTTTCTCAGGTCTCATACGAAATACTCTGACCCTAGCAAAGGCCCTTCTTTCTGGTGTTGGGAGCCATAGTTCAGAAAAACAAATTCCACAGAATTTCAGCCATTTATCTCCCAGATTGTCCCCTCCCTGAAGTCCTACCCAGAGCAAGAGAACATAATGAAAATACTACCTGCAGTCACAAGTCCTTCAGTTTCCTGGCCAATATTTCATATTCCTTTAAGATATCTTTCAAGGAGGAAGTGACAGGGGAGGGGCACATGGGGGACTTCAAGGACACTGATTAGGTTCTATTTCTTAAGCTTGGTGTCAGGAATATGGTTATATAACATAATGTTATTATTTATATTTTTTAGGTTAAAACATATGGCTTGTATATTAAGAAAAGGAAAAGAAATGCTAGAGATAAAAAAATTGTAACAGAAATGAAGAATGCTTTTGGAGAGCTCATTAGTAGGGTGGATGTGGCTGAGAAAAGAATCCTGAGCTTGAGAATATAATAGAAATTTCCAAAATGAAAAGCAGAGTAAAAAAGACTGGAAAAAACAGAACAGAATATCCAAGAACTGTGGAATGACTACAAAAGGTGCAATGTACATGCAATGGGAAGACCAGAAAGGAGAGAGAAAGGAACAGAAGCAATATTTGAATCAATAATGACTTAGAATATCCCAAAATTAAGCCAGACACCAAATCACTGATCCAGGAAGCTCAGAGCACATCAAGCAGGATAAAAGCCAAAAATTACTACACCTAGAAATACCAAACTCAAACTTCAGAAAATCAAAGATAAAGAAAAGTCTTAAGAGAAGCCAGAGGAAAAAAAAACCTTATCTAGAGGAGCAAAGGTAAGAAGTATACCCAACTTCTCCTCAAAAATCATTCAAACAAGAAGAGTGTGGAGTGAAATATTTTAAGTGTTGAGAGAATAAAAACACTAACCTAGAAATCTGTACACTGTGAAACTATCCTTCAAAAGTGAAGGAGAAAGACTTTCTCAGACAACAAAAATTGAGGGAATTTGTTGCCAGTAGATCTACCTTACAAGAAATATGAAAAAAAGTTCCTCAAAGATAAGGAAATTATATAAGTGAGAAACTTGTATTTATATATAGAAAGAACATCAGGGGAATTGAAAAAGATGGTGGTAGGAGACATGTGGCAGAAACCTCCTACCAAAGCCACATATATCACAAAAATAGAGCAAATACAACTAATCCTGAAAGAGTGACCCTAATACTGCAAAACAGACTGCCTACATCTGGGGAAAAGAGAAGACCTCACAGAAAAGGGTAAAGTAGCAAAGCCTCCTCCCACCCCAGCCTGCAGGTGGGAGAAAGAGAAACAGAGCTGGGAGGGAGTAGAAGCCCAGGACTGCTAAACTCCCAGTCCTGGAGATCTGCTCCAGGAGCACAAACCCACATTACATGGTGCTCTGGAGATTAGTGGGGTGGGAAAGCAAAGACAGGCAGAAAACTCAGAGAGACTGAGATTCCAGCTGCTTGTGGATAACAGGTACCCACAACTGGCTGCTCCAGGACAAAAGAAAGGTAGGCACTTTGAAAGACTTCCCAACAGTGAGGGCCGTGCTAAAGGGACAAAGATTACACAGATATTGCTGCTCAGGAGAAAGGGCAGGTGGATAAAATCATCCCAGCACAGCCCAGCAGGTTGGGAACTTTCAAGAGCTTCAGTCACTCCATCCCCCTGGCTGCAATGCAGCACTGAGGCCCCTCTACTGTGATATACAGCCTGCTGCTCCTTCTTCCCAGCAGGCACTGGTCTTCACACCTGCACCCACCATTGTGCCAGGCCAGCCAGAGGGTGGTCCCACCTATGGCAGCTATAGGGGCATAACGTGGAGGCACCTCCCTGCATGCTCAGCCCACTGGCCTTGGCAATGCACTTATACCACTGCAGTCGGGATGCAGGAAAGAGGTCTTTCCTCCTGGCCAGCACCAGTACCACTTGCCTGTGACCCCCACCATTCCTCCAGGTGCTGGGCAGCTCCAGAGAGTAGAGATTCTGGGCACTAGAGGGTGCCACGTACACAAAGTTATTTCATAGGAATTACTAGAAAAACAAAATGGCAAAAAAAATTTTGTATAAACGAAAATCCAGCAGAAGACACCAGAAAGAGGGTTAAATGAAACTGAAATCACCAGTCTTCTGGATAAAGATTTCAAAATAAAAATCATAAACATGTTCACGGAGCTACAGAAAAGTATTCAAGATCTCAGGGAGGACTTCAAGAAAGAGAAACTTTGAAAAATATAGTTTCTGAAATGAAGAATACAATGGAGGGATTTAAAAGTAGATTAGATGAGGTAGAGGAGATGGAAAATGAAATAAAAATTAGAGAACAGGAAAACAAAGAAGCTGAAGCACAGAAGAAAAATTAGGAATGAAAGAATAATAAGAGAACTGTGCAACCAATCCAAATGGAACAATATTTGCATATAGGGGTGCCAGAAGAAGAGAGAGAAAGAGGGATAGAAAGTCTCTTTGAGGAAATAATTGCTGAAAAATTCCCTAATGTGGGGAAGGAAATAGTTTCTCAGGCCATGGAAGTGCAGAGATCTCCCAACACAAGGGACCCTAGGAAGGCAACACCAAGACATATAATAATTAAAATGGCAAAGATCAAGGACAAGGAGAAAGTATTGAAAGCAGCCAGAGAGAGAAAAAAGATACGCATAAAGGAAAGCCCATCAGGCTATCATCAGACTTCTCATCAGAAACCTCACAGGCCAGAAGAGAATGGCATGATATATTCAATGCAATGAAACAGAAGGGCCTTGAACCAA